CCTCATCTCAGAGATGCGCTCCGAATTAATTGTCTGGCATCCCTATCGCTCCTTGATCGCCCTAAAGGAGAATCAAGAGCTCAAGTTGACGAACGACGAACTTGGCTTGGCTTGGTCCATCATCAATGACAGCTACATGACCGACTTGCCACTGACCTGTCCTCCTCACCTTGTTGCCATTATTGCAATGTTTCTTGCCGTGGTCTTCTTACCCTCTGCTAAGGCCGCCGGCACACTCCGTTCTTTGCCTCACGAAACCCTATCAAACCCGGATGCCGGTCACTTTTCATCCCTTGGTGTCGGCGGGCGCCAGAGCCTGTCTACTCCTATCAATAGCGTGCTGAGCAATCTGCAGATGTCGAATCTCATGGCCACTCAAAGCAACGCCCACCTCAATGGGAAAGCATCATTTCTCAATCAAACCGAAACAGCCTCGCAGCAGCCAGGAGACAGAGAGAAGGTGATAAACCTGAGCAAGGATAATGAGAAGATGCAGAATACCATCAAATTCCTGGTCGAGTCCGGCATCAACATTGAACAGATGATTGAGGGCACCCAGGAATTGATCAGCCTGTACGATATCTGGGAGCAGTACAACGAAAAGTCCGTCAAAGACGCCGTAGCTCGATGTATGAAGACGCGTGGGCTGGACAGCTAGTTGCAATGTCAATTCACCCATTCCTCCTCTCTGACACCGTCAAACACCTGACCTAGTGCCGCCCACTCCGACTACGCCAACCTGCTTTCGGATGTCAAGAACGAGGGGTTTTATTCCAGCCAATGGTTCGTTCCAATCGCAAGACGCCAGTGTTTTGTTGGGGAAGTCAACATAGAGAAAGTCGGCAGCAATGTTACGAATCTTATAAGTTAGTCAACCAATACTCCACAAGGGTCGAGAAGGGAAAGTACCTTTGGCCAGCGGTGGAGCAGTTGTCTGGTCAATTTATCCAGCGCCTTGATACGATAGGCATCCATGGACAACATCCTCGAGTAGACATTCAGCGAAGCTTCAATTCTCTGGAGGCTTGACATGGGGCCGTGGACTTTTTGCATCACGGTCCACAAGTTAGCCTTTGCGGTGTCCGAACGCTCGCTCGAGTCGACAGTGAATAGGTTTTGATCAATGATGAAACACAGAAAGTCAAGCAAAGGGACAACCTGGCGATCATCTTGCTGGGCGTTGAGCGCAAGCTCTTCAACAACAATAGTCGAAACTGTTTCGGAAAGCCTTATCTGAGTCCTAGAGTCTAGCGACTGCATGTGCAGGACAAACGCATTGCTGGCCGCGCGACACAGGTCTTCTGTTCCGGATGTTGCCGACGAAGCAAGTCCAAGGATGAGATCCCTTTGCACCCAGGGTATAGATATTAGATCCATCAGTTGCTGGAAGTAAGTGACCGATAAGACGTCGGCAGGATATTGAAAGGCATTCTGCAGGTCTGGAAAGGAGGAATACTTCTTCCAATGGCTTTCTAGACATTTCCAGGCTCGGAAACGCACATTGGATAGCTTTTCCGCTGCCAATTTCACGACGAGCGGCAACACGTCTTTTAACATTGTGCTAGTCTGTTCACGAGAGCCAAGTGCATTCTGATATATGTCGACCGTCTCGAGCGTCTGCAATCGGAGGGTTGAACCAATGTCCCCTCGTTGGTCATTGGTGTAGTCTGTCAGACCACATTTGAATACTCCGTATAGTCGAGTTGTGACATTGTCGTCGATCATTGGTATTTCACTCGCGAGTATGACGCCCAGCGCCTCCATGGCATCAACTCTTGTCTCGATTTTATACGAGCCTTGGACGATATCCATCGCGTACGACAGAATTCTGTGACGGACTGTGGGATCAAATCCAATCTGCGCCAGATATCCGTGTAGCAAGCTCAGTGTTTTGAGGCGTCCTTTGCTTGTAGCAGCTGCGGATGTCTGTCTTTTGTCCTCGAGCCATCCTTGAATCATTGTGGCATCCGCGGAAAGTGGGAGAACCTTGAATAGCTCCACGAATGCCTCAGCGCTGGTCTGGACGGCAATTTCCCTGGTCCCAGCTGTGGTGCAGTGATTCAGAACTCCTGCGGCGGCCGATATCCATGACTGCAGCACAGGCGCTGGTGTTCGTTTTGCCATAGCGCAACACTTGCTGATTTCAGAGATAAGCGTGGCTATTCCTTCCATCACAAGTTCGATGTCTGCTGTCGTCCGGCCCTCGAGCTTGCCTGTCAACAGCTTCAACTCAAGAATCTTGTTGCCCTCTCTCTCCAACCAAGACAACGCTATCACAGGCTCAAGCAAAGCAAGCGAGGCAAGTGATGAGGCGAGCCCGAGGAGCAATCCGTGCCTGGCTGCTGCAGTGCTTCCCATGTTGATTGACTTAAGATTTAGTAGCTGGCGAAGGACAACTTCAGCGTAGGAAGAGAGTTCTGGGACGGGGAGGAACCTTGTGAGGAGGTGAATGGTCGAGGCAGCCCAGCGACGCTGGTTGACATCGGCGGCACAAACACCCCGCCACTCTCTCAAGGCTTCCAATAGAGCTCTGTGGTAGACGTTTCCAAGTGCCGCGGCCTGTGGAGCGACTTCAGTCATGGCCCGGGAGAGCCGCGCAATAGCATGATAGTCAACAACTTGGACTAACGAGATACCATTGGTGATTGTATCTGGATGCCGACCGATGAGCTCTTGTAGAGCCGCCGACGACCCTCGGCGAATGTTACCTGAAGGGTCGAGGCAAGCAGAGATCGTCAGTTTGACAGCTATGAGTTGTAGGACACTCTGGCACTCTGTTCCACCTTGCTCAGCATGATCCGAGTAAGATACGAGATCCAAATCTGAAGTACGGTATTTCCGAGCAAGAGCCCAGAGGCCAAAGCAAGCTGCATCTCGTACACCGACGCCAACTGAAGTGCCGACATTGGACCTCTGCTCAAATTCTAGGCCCAGGAGTAAGGCTCGGATGATCTCTGATAGCATTTTGGGTGGGGGAGATCGGCGGAAAAGCAGGTGTGCTAGTGTGAGCATTAAGCCATGCCATCTCAAGGGGTCGACCGCGGATATGACTCTCTTCATCATCCCAGTATCGTGGACTGTTCTGTCCGTTGTTGACAGAAGCTTATGACTGTGAGGATCTTCCAATAGGACGTTTTCTTCAAGATACCCCAAAATCGCTTCAATGACCTCTGCTGCCATGTCAGGATCTAGTCTCAGGGTAACGACGCTCAGTGCCTTGGCAGCGGCCATCCTGACCGGTGTGTCTTTGTCACCCAGAGCATCGAGGAAGTATTGTATACTCTCCTCGAGCATGGTGTTGGAGCTGTTCAGTTGCACAGATGAGTGTTTGGAGCTCAAGGAGATTGCATGTAGCAGAATGGCCCGCAAATTTTTCAAAATCCATTTCCGTGCAGGGGCCGAGTCTCTGATAGCAGCAAAATGGCTGCTCTCAGCTGTGGCAATCTTCAATATAGAACTGAAGTTGTTCTCAAGGTAAGAAGCGGCCTCGCTATCTGAAGCAGAGTTTGTGATACCGTAAAGAAGCGACAAGAGGCCCAAGGCTTTGTAGGGACTGAGGCTGACCAAATCAGCATCATTGAGGAGTTTATGAGAGGCATATTGCACAAGCTTGACAGGCAGTTTGTGGGCTAGCATGTCTCTCCGTGAGCTCAACCGTACTAGCAGAATACTTGCAGCTTCACGCTCCTTGCCCGGGCTTTCCAGTTGGTCGAAAGCAAGTGAAACGACACCGCCGGCGATGCCAGGAAGATTACCTAGGTCACCAGGAAGAGCGGTGACCGTGTGGCTGACCGACATAGTGGCCAGCTCGAAAGGCGCAAGCATCAGATGAGACAGCCAGAGAAGCATGATGTATCTCTCTTGCCAGGTCATACCTTTAGATGGTGTATTCCAAGATGTGAAAGCGGACAACATTGGAGCCAAGTATTTGGGCTCATTATTGAGCAAATGAACAATAACTTTGTAGCCCCTAACCTTACAGAAAGAGTACAGCAGTCTGCATATCGCTCGAGGTAAAGGACTGACGCTAGCTGTTCCAGATCGTTGCGTGGGGCCATACTGATCGCTTGAACTTGCAAGGTAGCCCATAAAGGCATCGGTAAGATGCTGGATCAGCTTCGAAAGATGCGGGTCAAGCAGTTGAGGCCATTCCTGAAATCGGTCAAGCTAATACCGAGTCAGCTATACTCTCAAAGACCAGCACACTCATGGAGACAAACCAGCAGATTTAATTCCTCACATTTTGAGTCGAGGACTCGAAGACGGCGTCTTGGTGGCACCGTCACGGGGTGGCATAATAGTAGTGGGAGCTTGTGCTGAAGTTCGCTAAGGAGGGTTCCTGAAGCCTTGTAGAGTTTGGCATCGAGATCATGCTCAGCTGCATCCATTTGCGCAGGACTGTGACGGCTTCACAGTGGCTGAGAGCAGCGGGATATAGTGTTGCTTCTTATATACTGCCTGCACCCCTATGCCGAACATATACTTGGTATGAGTTACTTGGTCGATAGGCAGAATAGGAATTTTAGAACGAGCGAGCCTGACACGTGATGACCCGCGCCTGGGTTGACACACGCTAGTCCTTATACAGCGAAGCTCCTGCTGCCCAACGTGTTCTCGCCCAATTGAATACGCGCATGTCAACGACGTCAACCTGAAACTGAAACTGGCCCAAGGCTGCCTGTTTCCAACTTCCCTGATACGACTTCACGTCAGGGAACAAAGCGCAGGGATACGCCCGTACTAGGTCACCGCGCCCGACAAATGGTCATCCTACCAGACATTTCAGTCATGCCCTCTATGTTTCCAAGAAGGCTACGGCGATTCACCCGCCCTGCCATCAATCCGCTACAGGCCTTCGGCTAGCCGACAACATCCACCACTCGATTCATTTCCGATTTGATTAGCTGCTCCTCACCGCCAGCTCGTCGTCACGCTCCCTCTTACCTGCACCATCCTCGAGACGTCCTGCAAAATCCTCGACTACGCTTCAGTCTGCGATCATGGCCAAATCTGCATTTGCTTCTCCCTTTCGCTACCTCCAGGGCCTGTTGGTCTCATCCACGACTGTCCTGTCCCGCTCTGATAACATTACAGCCTCAGCCCATTCAAATGACACAGCTTATACCCCGAGTCCTGGAACACGTGCAGGGTCCTACGATTCTGTCAGTTATGGCAAGGGCAAAAGAAAGGCTGTGGAAGAGGATCACTCTGGGCCCAAGACCAAAAAGCGTGCGATAAGCATGGACCGAGACGCTTTCACACCATACGGGGATGACAGTGATGTGCATCAGAGCCCGTCGATCCCCAGCGATGGAATAAGGACGAAGGCAGACCTAGATCGAACCTTGATGCCACCCCCAGCGACCCCTCACAGCCGAAGGACATCGTTGCTCGCACTACGTGCCGACCCTGAAGCGGTGCACGCTTCTCAGACGGGAATTCACGACGATGACTCGATATCGTTCGTTTCAACCGCAATGGCAAGGCAAAAGCTAGATTCCGTAGATTTCGACGCGATGGAGGAAGCGCGAAGGCATGCTGCTGCGGTTACTTTGCCTGCCAACTCAGGACTCTGGTCGCAGGCAGAACGCGAGTTATTTTTCCACCTCGCCTATCGTGGCTTCGAGCCTCTTCTTCCGCAAAACTGGATGATTGACTTTGACACATTACCGATTAGTGTGTTTGCACACGAGAACTCGGCAGAACCTCCACTCATCCAAAACATCCGAGACAACCAATTCAGGGCCAGCCATGCTCTGCGTCGACTCTTCGAGGCCGGCCATGATATACGAGACAGGACACACGTCAGCCCGGGTATTCCCAGAGAAAGGATTCTGGAACAGTCTGTGAAGAGATACCTCTACTGGGCTCTGACAGATGTGGGACTTCGCCCAAGTTCAAAGACCAGCTATATTCCAGTCCACGCTGTCGTCGCCAGGAAGAAGGGTCGGTCTACGCTGCAGACGCTTGAGGAGATCGCGAACAGGTTACAGAGGCTTTCGGTGCGACATCAAAGAGCTCAACATATTCACCCAAGCATCGAGACTCAAAGTCCAGATCTCATTGACACCGACGAAACGCGGGTAGCTGATGATGATGCATCTTCACCTACTCTTGTCGGCTTCGTGATCATCTCGTCGGTACTTGTCATTGTCACACTCAGCCCGTGTAAGAGGTATACACTGGGGCCCACAAAACCGCAAACAGATTCTCCATCTACCCCAGGAACTCCTCTTCGAGGCAGCGCGAGTGTCAACCCCGATCGACTCCGCATCATTGCTGAGCTTGATTTCAGCCAAAGAGATCAAGATGTATGGAATGCGCTAGGCGTGGCAATTGTCGCAATGCAGGTGCGTAAGGAGGCTCAAAAAGTGAACCATGGATTCAGCCGTGGTGATACGAGTGGAACTGATTGGGATGTAATGTCGGAGGCAGATTCTATACTGCAGGATGACTTCGAGGGAACGAGTACTTTGTCAAGGTTACAATTAGTTGACGACCCGGACCTCTAGTCGTTGGTGTACTTGTGATGAATCCAGCTTTACGAGGTACAGACAGACGGATCTACTGCAACGAGTGTACAGACTTGGAAGTCGTCTTTACTTGCACACAGTACTCCATTCTATTACATGTCGTTGGTATGTATCTATGTAGAGCTCCAACCAACAAAGGCTTCTCCTCCAGTCTCCCTCGTCGCGCTTCGGTCGTAAATGTCAATGAAATCGCCATGCTGAAGAGATCAAGGAAACCTCCGTTCATTCATTACTGAAACGCAATGCCGAACGCAAATCCTACTGCGATACCATGTATTCCCGGGCCTAGACCGAGCTGCGACAGTGGACCATACATGGCCCTTTGTAGAAAAGCATCCAAACTTCCATTCAATAGCAGCAACAATCACTGGTAGGCAGAGCTTGTCACCACAATCTGTATTTCCCCGTCGCAAGCTCTTGTCTCTACCATATGGCACCAACATCGGCATCGAATCTTGCCAGTTCTTTTCCTGACTCCTCTACTTCCTTTCTCGCTTTCATCCTCATATAGAAAATCGGACAATCCCGGCTCGAGCATAGCACCTCAGAGTGCATACTGCCCTGGCACCGTTGGCACTGTGTCCACAGCCTGGCAAATCTTACTTCCAGTTCGCCGACCTTTTTAATCTGCTTGGTGTACAGCTCGCCGATGCGGGGACGACAGTTCTCGCACACCGCACCCTTGGATTCCTGGGCGCTGACGAGAGGTTTCTTGCAGCCCATGCATGTCTGTGTCTTTTTGGCGAATTTCATTAGTCCGCCAAGGGTAGGGGCAGCAACAGAGATTGAGCGTGTATGGTCGCCGGCAAGTAGGGAATTAGCACGTCGCTCACCGAGGATGGGCTCGAAGATTCTTCCCAGAGGGTTGGCGAGTTGGTTGTCCAGATAATATTTGGTGTCGATAGGGACGTTGTTCTCGAGCACATATATTGGATCCTCCGAGTTCTCGTAGTTCTTGGACCCGCTGGCGCCTTTCACCATGACATACGCTACACGGTCGCCCAGTGCTGGAGCTGAGCCTGCGTCGCGTTTCTTCATCCGCTCAGCTAGTTCCACATGTGCTTGTTTGGCCGTGTAGTCGCTTTTGCTAAGTGCTTTTGTAATCACTAGCATGCTGAGATCGATCTTGTTTTGTAAAAGGTTGGCAATAGTCTCCTTGACATAATCCTGCGCGCCATCTAAGTCTCGGTCGATCAAGATCTTTTTCAGAACTGTCTCAATGACGACTTGGACGAGACGACAGTTATCCCGTCGGACAGTTTCAATGCCTTTGCTGTCCATTTTGTCATGCTTCTCTGGATTCGTCCAGTACAGTCCCGCGTACCTTTTCTTGTTGATTAGCAAGTAAGGAAAGTAGACCTTTTCGAATTCCAATTTGATCGGTTTGATAAATTTTGAAGAGACAAAGTTGGCGGCTTCTTCTCCAAGTTCCATCGTCTTTCGAAGATCCTTCTCACCAAACTTGACCATGACTGAGTCGGTATCACCGTAGATGACCTGGGCGTCATGCGAATAGCCATTTGCCATTGTGTACTTTTGTTCCACCTCATGCTTTGTCTTTTCGATCATTTGACGGCCATATGCTGTGGTGCTCGATGCGATGGCGAGACAGGGCAGCTTTCCAACAGTGGCACCTGTGATACCGTAGACGGAGTTTGCAGATATTTTTAGAGCCAGTTGGCGTCCGTTGAGCACTGCCTTCTTGAATGGGTCTGTCTCTACAGCGAGTTCCTTCTTTGCACGCTTTCGTGCACTCAGCAATTCTTCCAGAATTTGACTAAGAAGTCCTTTGCGAACTTTGGCGGTGCAGAAGAGATCCCCATTGGGAGTGAGAATATAGTCTTCATCTTTTTTCAGATTGAGTTTTTCGATGATGTTCTTGTTCAATAGTGTGGTGTAACACAAATTGTGGGCTTGGATGATAGAAGGATACAAGGAAGCGAAATCCAGAGTAGCAACGGGCACATCGTAATATCCTCGAATGGGCTCAATGACCGTCGCACCTTCATACTGCTCATCGGTGCTTTCGTTTCGCAGATTCGGAATGACCAATTGCTGCTCTAGAGCTTTCCTGAAAAGTTGGCTGATGAATTTCACCTGCTGCCCTCGGGCGAGGAGGTAGTTGAAAGGGACACCTGTAACCCTGGCCATTTCCGTGTAGTTAACCAGGCACATGAGCTTGTCCATAAGTCGTTGGGGGAGGTAGGCATCCTTTAGACAGTAGACAGCCAATCGTCTTCTCGAATCTGGAGTTCCATTGTATAGCTCTGTGATCATGGTGTGATGGACGTCCTCCTTCTGCTCACCCAAGAAATGTGCACAGACAGAGTTCAGCGTGTAGCTGCGAAGTTGGTGGTCTCGTTGGACGAGCTGCAGCAAATCCAACTGAATTCGGCCATTGGTGTTTGTGGACTTCGTATCACGATTACCCATTTGCTTGCTGGAGAAGTTGGTGTCTTTGGCGTGGGATGCTACACTTTTCAGTCGTGACCAGTAAGGAAATTTTGTCAATTTCAGGTGTTTGGCCCTATCGAGAAGATAGGGGAAGTCGAAGTTTGCAATGTTGTAGCCGATGATGACATCGGGATCAACTTCTTCCAAGAATTGTCTCCATGCCATAAGCATATCAGACTCTGATCTGTGTTCGTATATCTTCGTGTTCACAATTAGGCTGCAGGTGTCCAGTACAAAGACATTTCGGATAAAAGGCTTCGACTCGCCATATTTTGTGACCACGTTTGCAATCTGGATAACGGGGTCTTGGTTGGCTTCGGGAAAGATGCCTTTGCGGCCAGCACATTCGATATCGAAGGACAGGATTCGAAGTGGTGCCATTTTTGCCCATTCCCCGTCATGTCCATGCGCGACAAGATCCCGATAGTGACAGTACGCCTCGATCTGGCAATTGGATTGGCGGTCATGTTGAGAAAGGACGTGATACTTCTGTGGGGGAACCTCAACCCATGACATTCCGGTGATGCCCGTATCGATCATGAAGCGAAGAACGTATTGGATGTTGTCAAAGGTCAAAATTTTGCTTTCAACGCCTTTCCACATCCCTTTATAGTTGGCATGTCCGTCCTCTATCGCAGTCCGTAATCGGTTGATAAACTTGGGGTCTGTCACCGTAATCTTGAGATAAGGGCTCTTCTGATTGCCCTGAAACCCAAACAGGTTTTCGCGCAGCACCATCTGCACGGAATGGATGGCGGGTTGATGTTGTGCCAGTTGGGCCTCGAGGTATGCTTTGTACCCTTCCACATCCGACCGTTGGAAGTTGACCGGCGCCGCCACATAGAGGTAATGAAGGAAATCAGTGACGTGGAGAAGGATGGAGTGGCCAGTCTGCTCTGGATTCAGCTAATGGTGGTTCAACAACACCGCGGTTAACGTACCTCCGATACACCAAACATCTTAAGGGCAATCTTTCCCCCTTGCAATGTGCCTTCCTCAATTTCGATCTGTTGAAAACGCAAAGGATCCGAGTCCGCGTTGAAGTTGTCCAGACTTGGTCTCTCCCACTGCTGGTCTTTCTCCGAATTGTTCTCTTTCAAGCCCGCAATGTCCTGTGTCATCTTTTCGAGAACTTCGGTTTCAAACTGGCTCTTGGGCTGCGACGAGCCCAGCTTTGATTTAAACCTATTTGGGCCGGGCTGTGACGAGTGGAAAGAGACATTGGGTCGGTCGCCATTTAGTTTCCTCTTCTTCGCCGACGGCGGGGATTTGAGGACGTTGTGGGTGTTGGTGGTGTCTGTCAAGACCCTCTTCTTGGGCTGATCAAGAACACGTCCAGGCATTTTCACGAGCCTGGTGTCAAAGACAGAAAGACTTGTGAATGAAGGGAAGATGGAGGTTTTGGTCGGAGGCTTGAAAGAGCAGTCGCGGAGAATCACTTATCAATCATTTGGGCAAGTGAGGAGTGACGTGAACGCGACGCGCTTTTCTACTTTGGAATTGGCGTGATATTGTGCAGCCAGACCGCCACAACCGCCGCTGGCTCCAGCGTCCCACACCCCTCCAAACATCTCACAACTCTCCTCTCACCCCATTGCTCACTCTCCAAAGCAATCGACGACGACAGATTTGGTGATTGGAACAACTTTATCGATAATCGTGTCTTGTGTCAGCAAAAATGGCGGATGATCTGCAGGCCGAACATACTCCCGGTTTCAAGGTGGGGGAGAAGAAGACGTTGGAGGAATATCAGAAACTGGGTGAGTTAACCTGCTGTCTACCACTCCAACAAGTGTCTGGATGGTAGACCGCAGTCACCATTCCGTAGAGAAGAATGACGAAGAAGACAAGATACAGGGAAGATATCTGAGACAACTACTGTGATCGCTGTTCTTTTAGAGTCCAGATCTGCTCCCTTCTCACCAGGCTTTGTGATCATACACTGACTTCCTCAACCCAAACCAGACCAAGGCGACGATGCCCTGAATCGGTGGAAGCAATCACTTGGTCTAGGCAGTGGCACACCGATCGGCGACCCGAACGACCCCCGCACATGCATCATTAAATCTCTTTCGTTGGTGAGTCCATCCGAACCAGAAATCATATACAGTACCTGACCCAGACCAAAGGAAGTCGAAGGCCGACCAGATATAACCATCGACCTGACTCAACCTGGCTCCCTCGAAACCCTTAACAAACACCCCTTCACCATCAAGGAAGGCTGCAAGTACTGCATGAAGGCCGTCTTCACCGTCCAGCACCAAGTCCTTTCTGGCCTCAAGTACATCCAAGTCGTCAAGCGAAAAGGTATCCGTGTCAGCAAGGACCAGGAAATGATTGGCAGTTTTGCGCCCAACACCACCGATAAGCCCACATATGAAAAGAGGTTTACCGAAGAAGAGGCTCCTTCCGGCATGCTCGCTCGTGGCCACTACGAGGCAAGTACCAGATTTGCTGACGATGATGACCATACACATCTCGAATTCCACTGGTCATTCGATATTGCCAAGGATTGGAAGTGATTGGGGGTTAGCCATCGTGGTGGCCCAACCCTCTTTTTTCCAGCATGTCGGCCTGGATCCGACGCTGTTGTCAAACGGGCGATACCCTCGGGCCTTTAGCAATTGAGAGTCATCTTGGCCGCGAGTTCGTCACGACTGGCTTGCGGGATTTTGCTGTGGATGTTGCCCCCAACACCAGCCAACACGTCAGATGACCCAAACACTAGAGAAAGTACTCAATGTGAGAACCTTGACCATCTTTTCCCTGCGTCTGTTGTTGTTGCTGCTGTTGCTGCTCGTTTCGATGTATGTCATTCTCCGGTGCTGCATCAAAGATATTGAAGTAGCGATCACCAGCATCACTGACTTCAAGAACACTCGCCAAATTCCCGCAGCGATAGCAATAGTTTGGAGCACTCCAGACTGTGCTAAGGCGATCGTCGTACAAAATCTGATAGCCTTCCTGGCACAGTTGATGGGCACGCAGGATATGAGACATGCTATTAACTTGCAGGAACTTTTTCACCACATCGCCTCCGAAAGTATATCCAGCTCCTCTCGGCGAGAGCGAAAACTCGTCTCGCTCCGGATCGGGGTCTGACCATACCAAGTCCGCCATGGGTCCTTCGTGGGGGATTTCTCGATATCTGTCAATGATTTTGATCTGGTCGATGGAGTGGATGGACGGAGAAAGGCCGCCGTGAACACAGAAGATCTGGTTATTGATGACCACGCTCAGGGTAAGGAAATCGAACATGTCGGTGAAATAGTGCCAAACATTTGCATTGCCGTATTTTCGTGCGCATTCCGTGTAGAAGCCATAAGATTGCGTGACGCCTCGTGATTCATGATTGCCTCGAATGAGATGGACGCGCTGGGGGTATCTTAACTTTAAGCAAACAAGAAGGGAAATCGTCTCGACGCTGAACAGACCGCGGTCTACGTAGTCGCCTGCGACAGATTAGCAACAGGGCATTGCACAGCATAGGGCGCACTCATACCGAGGAAGAGGTAGTTGGTGTCTGGACAAAAGCCCCCGATCTTAAAGATTTCCAACATGTCAAAGAATTGGCCGTGGATGTCGCCAACAACAGTGACAGGAGCCGATATATGGACCACATTGCTCTCCTTCATTAACATCTCCTTTGCTTTTGCACATATCGCCTCGATCAGGGATTCGGCGAGGAGGTTTTTCTTGTACAGTTGGGCGATGCATTCATCCAGGTCGATACTCGCTGTAGTATTTTGTCATTAGTGATATTCTGCCTGTAAGAGCCTCAGAAAACCTACCTGGTAGACCAGGCATTGCAAAAAATAAAGCAAGTCTGCCACTGGTGCCGCCACAAGTGTTGAAGCACGGGAGCAGGGTGTTCAAGTGGCTGCGCCTAAGACAAGTTCTTTGAAACGCTGCAGGAGTCGCTCCGCTCTGTCATGATGCCCGACTCTGGGGAAAATGCTAGCAATGCTGCAGACGGAGAGAATGTAGGGAACACGACATGAAGGAAATAGGGAGGATGAGGATGAGAACTCGTCGAAGAGAATGGCTGGTTCGGTCGCAGGGGTGAAGTTCGACGCGGCGGCAACGCGGCTTTCTAAAAGAAGCAATTGTTCACACTTGTTTCCCGCTTCTAAGATTCTCATCATGGATATTTGCCTCGCATTATTATGTACCACTTCCACGTCCAGCTTCCCGCCGTCTTCATCCATATCCAGCCATCGGCACCCTGGCCATATGCCATCGCCTCTCATACTCTCTGACGATGTCGCCTCTCCTCTGAAGCAATAGCTCCATAGCTACTCGCTTTCTGCGGCTCTACAACCTCCCAAGACCCTGCAATGAACCGTCGCATTTCGGGTACAAACAGTCCCGCTTCGTAGACCCAAGAACTCGTTTGTATCTACTCTCTCTCTCTCTCTCTCTCTCTCTCAGAGTAAGCACAGAATGACAAGGGTTTTCCCCTCTCTCCCTCTCTCTTCTGGGGGTTGCTGCTCCAAACGTATGAGAAAGCCCGAGGTTGTGTCTGCTCTTTGTTCTCTGTCGTCTGTGCTGTACCATGATATCCACTACTCTCAGTTCTCAGTGACTGAGATTTCTCTCCTACAGAGATGTCAGTTCGGCTTTGTTCCTTCCCCTTGCTAGCTTCGGTGGTGACTCTCGGTTTGCTTCTGTGCCTCGTGCAGCCCTTCGACATCAAAATCCCTCGCCGCTTTGAAGACTTGCTGTTTCACACTCAACTACTTCACATTCAATCTTAATTTGTTTTATTTCTTTGAAGAAGGACACCGGTGATTGCTCATCGTGACTTCCTTGACTCAAGATGGAACCTGGTCATCAATCAAACGTGCTGCAGTCGCAGTATGACAGGACGACAGATCCACGTTCAGGTCCAAGCCACCTCATGTTTAGTTACTACAACGGCGGAAACAGTCTGAGAGACAGTCACGGTGAAGAAAGCTATGACCACACCAGTTATCTTGGAGGCTATGGCGGCCGACAAGGTGGATATGTCCTGTGAGCGAAGCGAGAGCCTCCGTCAGACGACGTTGCCTTTTGACAATCTTCCCATATAGACCCTCGCATGGTACTCAAGCTGCCCAGTATCCCGACCAAAGAATGTGCTTCCAAGAAGGATATCACTTCGACCAGAGCTATATGTCCACAAGGTCACGATTTACGGGTCAATCGCAGTATAGCAATCGTGCTCAAGTCGAATTTCCAGCTAGCTTCTCGTCTCATATCCCAACGAGCGATTTAGGAGGACCACTGATTAAGCCATATCAGGGTGCGACTCATGAGCACAAAAGACCGGCATCACCACCAATCCCGGACGGACTGAATCAAGACCTCCCAACGCTCTCTCAGTGGAATGCTCATGAGGAATCGCGTGGCAATCTACCTCACGGATATGACATGCATTCGAAAGACAGTGTGCAAGCCCTCGGTTTCTCTGATGGTCTAGGTCTTGAGGCTGCACAGCAGTTCTCGCCAGTCCAACGAAGAATACAAGCCTTCGGCGCAACAATGGATGAGAATGACTCGATGGAAGCGCACCAACCAGTCATTGTCTCGAAATATTTCCGCAATAACAAGGATCTCACCTTCTTCAAACCAGTGCGCGAAACCAGACACTGGCACTATGTCAAGGACGATCCGGCGTTTGCAGATATCGCTACTGATGGGGAGATTGTAGCATTTGAAGAACTTGATCAACGTAAAAACGCCATTGTCTCAAGCCACAACATTGCTGGAGCTTACCGCCGCCCCTCGATCTCGGTAACAGCCAACGTTCACCAGCGCATTCAGACATTTCCACAACAGCAAGCGATGGAGACAGGCCTATCCATCGAGCAGGAAGAACGTCTTGCAGCTCTTGGAGTAACCGGGGCTCCCAAACCAGTTCGGTTTGCCATTCCCAAGCAAGAGGAGCAGCGGACAAGATCGAGGTCACCCGAAATGATGATAGGACAGCGGAACGAAGGTAAGAGCTACCGCCAGCGACATTACGGTCAAGGGGTCCAAGCAGTGCAGGCCCAAAATTGGCGGCATGACCAAGATCCAAGACATCGAGGCTCTCAAAGTGCTGGACAAATGACAAGCAGAGAGAGTGAGGGAACCGGTGAGATGGGACTCGGGCACGGTCAGGACAACCAGCGCCGAGGCAGAGCAGGCAAAACTGAAGGAAAGAGCAAGCAGCAGCACGCCAGCAAACCATGTGGGATATTCGATAAACATCTGCATCAGCACACTCCACGTCCTCACCCACCAAATGCTACAGAAGGGGAATCTAGCTTCCCCAGCGATCGATGACCATTCGAAACACACTCGTAATGAGGGCCCAGTAATCGCGACAAACGCCCAGTAAATCATGGTGCAATGGCACAGGCGATAAGAACAGAACCACAGGTTAAATTGACAGCAAGAAATGATATCGGCTTTCAGTCCCAACAGGGATGGCGATGCCCAAGAGGCGCACTCTTATGGCACATGTCCGTTGGAGTATGCGCTCTGGGGATTTACCACACAAATGCAACATTCAGGGACCAGTAGGCGACATCTCATACGTCCTCGTGGAAATTGGACATTGGCATGGAAGCCATCGGGCAGGGCAAATCAGAGCAGATCCCAGACAGACGGTTCCGTCTTGTAGCTGGAACAAGCAGAGGGGCAACAAGGAGGCAAGACAGACACATGGTATTCGCTGCGAGGACAGAGGACATTGCTTTGGTGGGAAAGGACGCTTCGCTATGTGCAGAGGAGCATCTTACAGCTTCAAAACATCGAGCTTGTGCGCCGTTTTCAATCCAGCATGCTCTCTCTCTCTCGGGGGCGAGCAGATCAGACCTGTTAGGGAGCGCAGCGTAATCGTCATCTAAGAAGACACAGAAAGGGCCCGCTAGAAAAAAGACAATACCTATGAAGGGGTAAATTACAAGATCGAGATTCTTCTCGTCCATGGACCCCCGAATTCCAGGGCCTCTTTAGAAGTGAGATGCTTGAATTCATCTTTGTTTGTTTCTGTCGAACAGTACCTGTTCTCTATGTCTTGAGATGCTGTACATGATATGAGGGGTCATGTCTGTCTGTTTTGGCTCTCCTCTTTTCCACAATTCTCAACTGACTGCTGCGCTGCTACAGGGATTTGGGAAGGGGTTAGTTTGTAGATCCAGGAGGCGCTGCTGGAATTGCGTCCGTTTGGATGAACCCTCGACTTCGTCATCCACGTCGAGTCTGAGGTGCTGTGACTGGACTGGAGGAAAGGTGGAACGGCCTTTACCCTGATTTCCTGTGCATGACTGTTGCAGAAGCCTACATTCACATTTTGGTTAGTATTTATTGTAATCTGTAGTGGCGGCGTTTTTCAGGGGACATCTCGCCATGCTACAGAATAGACATGGCCTGCCAACAACACTTTGAAGTAACTGCAACGCGTGTGAATGAGAGGGGGCAGAGCCTGACCTGGTGGTTCGGGAAGATCAGCGAGTCCGCAAGGACGACGTTTTCCCTCCTTCCGGCAGCAAATACAACAACCTCTGCGATGTCGTCCGGGGTCAAGGGCTCCACGCCTTTGTAGACGGCGTCGGCTTTGGCTTTGTCACCGCCGAAGCGGACAATGGAGAATTCCTAATAAGCCACGAAGAGGGTCAGCATAAAATCCAAATCAGCAGGAGCTTCCTGAAACTCTTTGGGCGAGCATCGAGAGGCGCGCAAGGCGGAGAGGGCCACGTACAGTCTCGACCTGTCCAGGATCCACCTCGATGACTCTTATGCGGCTGGCAATCAACTCCCTTCTAAGGGCATCTGTAAATGTTCTCACTGCGGCTTTTGTAGCGCAGTAGATACTTCCACCAGGATATCCCTCCCTCCCTGCAATAGAGCCGATCATAATGACGTCCCCTCTGCCCCCGACATCTTCTCCGTTGTCTCCCTTTTTTGCTTTCATGATGGGCAGGATGGCCTGTGTCATATTGATCAGACCAGTCACATTGGTCAAGAACATGATCTCCATGTCTTCAGGTCTGATGTCTGGCGCTTTGTCCATGCCCTTGACCAAACCGGCATTGTTCACCAAGACATCAATATTTCTAAACTCCACTGGCAGATTTCCCACAAAACTGCTGATTTCCTCAGATTTTGAGATATCCAACTTGACAGGCAAGACCTTTACCCCGTTACCGACTTCTTTGTTGATCTCCACGGCGACTTGCTTGAGCGTCTCGACCCGGCGGGCAGTAATGATAATCTTCAGATCTTCCGGGGATGTGCGAGCAAATTCCTGGGCGACGCTGCGGCCGATGCCAGAGGAGGCGCCGGTGACGAGGATAGTTTTGCCAGACAGGCGTTTGCCCATGGCAGACAAGGAGGAAGACATCCTGCGGATGGTTTGTATCGAGATCCCGAATTGTGGTCGAAGTAGAGAGTGCGAGATTAAGTGGTGCGGGGAAGCAGTTGTCAAAGGTCTGCGCGCTGCGGCTGGTAGGAAGCTGCGTGTCAATACTGAGAGGGCAGAATAAAGGTGGGAAGGCATGTACAGATAGACCTGGGAGAGAAATACGTGAGAAGCAATAGAGGTAGACGAGGATTAAAGGTGCATTGGAACTAGATGTTGTTGTTGTTGGTGGTGGTGGTGGTGAGATTCCCGGAGTTGTTCCCGAAGCGGAGAAGCATTCTCGGCACCACTACAGTCTGTCTGATCCTGTCTCGTCCTGTCTGTCACTTGCTGTTCCTACCAACCAGTTGTTATTTTCGGCAAAAAAGGAGCCGGCAGCCTTGTGTGAGAAATCGACGTGCTTGTTATATAAGTATTGGTCTGATCTATACGAGAAGATGGTCCTGTGTGTCTGAGAGAGTTACGATAAACCGAACAGGGTAAGGGAGAGCGCGTGAAAAGAGAGCACAAAGCACAAAGCCGCCCGTATCCAATCCACAGAAATGGCCCTCAGTATTGATCCGTTGTAGGCGCCCTCAGTTCTGACCATTGCTGGACCATGCTCATCCTCCACTCGCCCATTCAACGAAGCCACAGGACGCCGCTGGATCTGGAGGAAAGAACAGACTCCAGCCCTCACAAGCACAACAGGATCCCCAATGTAACCAGATTTCCATATGCTCACAAGCATGCAGAGCTTCGTTAAGTTGACGTGGGCACATATCTCCTCATCCAAATCCAAATCCAGATATCGTCGTCATAACACCATATGATTGCCATCATTATTCCCAGACCATGCGCCGATTGATTCCGCGTCCGCCGAAGGTCCACACATTGTGATGCAGGACATAGGATGAGATTTACTCATCTACGAACGTTGTTCTTTTGCTGCGTTGGGTTGGGGGTGCTCCGTGTAACCAAAGCCCGTATCGTCCCAGAGAAAAGATACTTTTGTTCCAGACAAAAGCAGGTTGTAACACTAGATCCACAACAATGCGCATCTTCCCAGTTCACAGAAATCCCGATTCGGACAGTAGCCTCGCGATTTTCTCTTCTTCTCGCTCGCGAGGCTCGACCTTGAGACTCTGGGCGAACATGTCATCATGGGAGTCTCCAGCATTTTTCATGTTGTCCGAAATCCACTCCTGTAATTCTGGAACCGGATGGAGACTATAAGGCACGTTTTGATACTGCTGGATGTCTCGAATGACCTCGGCAGTCTTGGTCCGTTTGGCAAAATTGATCAATTCGGTGTTCTTGGTAAGTGACGGGATTCCATCTTCAATGAACGTCAAGTCGGTCAGGTAAACACCCAAAAAGGGGATACATGGCGGAGTTGCCTGGCGTAGTGTTTCACGATAAAGTGCAAAGTTCTTCGAAGATGCTATCAGATTGCGCATCGACTCGAGGATTGCGTTTGTCTTTGGGTTAACAGCATTCCAGGTTCGACTCAGTCGGACTATATGGGCAGTACCCAAAGCTGAAATTATGGCTGTCACGGCCGAGAAATTGTTCAGGACACGGCATTGCTGTACAGTATATTAGGACCAGTGCAAAGTCAATACAGGCGGGACACAACTCACCTCAGCAATCAGCACAAAATGCTTGATGATGACCACTCTTTTCTTTACCTCTGATTGACCCAGAATCATGGCCGAGACCCAGTTAGTCAATTGGTTTGAATGTAAGATGAGAGCTTGCACGTTCGGAGCAGTATCACTGCTGCTATCCGACTTGCTCTTCCTCTCCCACGTCTTGGCCAGACATTCAACAGGCTTGATCTTGCCATAGAGTTTCGATTCAATAATGGTCAGCTGCCGCGCAAATTCTTTGGGATCGATATCCAGAAATTTGAGCTTCTTCATGTTCTTGGGCAGAATAGGAGCCGGAGCGGAATTCGTGAGAGTCAACACAAGCTTCTTGGACAAAGCTTCTCCCCCTTTCAATCGCTGTTCGATAATGGTTGTCAGAGCCTTTGCGAGCGGAATCTTTGTCGTGGTATATGTACGGTCCGCAAAAGCCAGCATTCGCTCGAGCAATGCCTGACTATTGCCATCGTCGGCTTCCATCCAATACTGCTCCAGCCACGACTTGAGAATGTTCAGGACTCTAAATCTTGCTGGCTTCTGCTTGTGTTCTTCCCAGATGGAATACTCGTCACGATTCAAGCCGGCAGGTGGCTGTAGGTTGAATCGCCTTACCAGAAGCTCAAAGAGCTCTGACGCGGAGGTGAAAGAACGATAGGTGAGCAAGAAGGTCGTGGTAAAGGTCGTATCCGGTCGATCATGTCTAGTAAGCTGTTCCACAAGTCCAGTGAGCGTGCCGCTTTTGACTTGAGGAGGGTCGTTTTTCGTATCATAAGTAATTTCATCCGCGTGGTCGAGTTGCAGATACCATGGGACTTCGTCTACAGGGTAGCTTGGTTCAATGGTGGCTTTGACGGGATTCAAGTCCGGCGGTATCTGTCCAAAGAACTGCCTTGCTTTGTCCTTGTTGGGGGGTCGACGTAATTTGTCTGTCATGGGATCTTCACCAAGTGTGTATGATTTTGACTGACCAAGATCTGCCAGTGCAGGGCGCAAGTTTGCTGCATGCTTCGAATCGGATCGAAGATGGTGAGTCTGATAAGTTTCACCTCCATCGGTCACACGGTTCTCCCGCTTGTTAGTAGCCAGCGCAGGGTTTAGCGTGGTGGCAGGTAGCAATAGTTCCAATGCGTAGCCCACGTTGGCCACATGAGTGTCAAGCTGCTGGCAAACAGTTCGAACGTTGCTAATCCGGGTATCCAACGACTCGCCACGCACTTCAGCCCATTCATCTGGGAGGGGTGTAGTGATAGCCTGACAAGTGGCCACCAATTCGCCAATGGAATCGTAGGCCTTTTGCTTCTGAGATCCAAAATCCACCAGTGATGGTTTCTGAAACACGTTCCCTAGCGCAGAGAGATCGATAGACTCAACATAGGAGACCCACGGCCGAAATTGTTCGAGAATCATGCCCGCACCTTGACAGACCGCATCTCCAATGGCAGATAGTCTCGCAGGAGTGACAATCTTCTCGGTAAGTACAAGGACCTCCTCAAGACGACGAATGGCGGCCGACAAACCCCTCTTCGAATCATCGATGTGTCGAAGGAGGTTCGCATCGAGTGGTTCCGATGGACGCCAACCGATCTCATCATTGGAATCCATGAATGAGACTTCATCCAGATTCGTTTGGGAGTCAATGTTGTTGTCCCGCCAGCTTCCTCCAACAGTACTGCCCAATATAAACCCCGGAAACAACCGTGGGATCTCTTCTCCTCTCTGCTGTCGGGCCACCTCTACGTACCCATATACCCCATTCATCACACCATCGGCTTCTTGCAAACATTTGGTCAACGCGTCAGGCCCTGGCCAATCGGCGGCGGCGATATGTGACGATAGGACGAGCTTTGAGAACTTGGACATCATCTCCCGAAAGTGAGGGTATAGGGCCTTGTTTGACGAGATTATAGATGGGTTTCCCGAGTGATTATCGGTGGTCCCTGATCCTGCGGCCAACAGCAAGCGAAGATGGTCTGAGATGTCTTCTGCCCTTCGAACATAGTCTGCACGCGCTCGAGTACGAATTGCATGACGATAGGACTCGATGGCGGTGCGCATATTCTCTACCAGGCTATCCCATGTGACTGCAGCGACTCCACCGTCGTCCAGAAAAAATCGGGGGGTGGGGGATTTGGAAAGTTTCGGCGGTAGCCCTACGGCAAATGAAGTCGAGCTAGTCCCCAAGGGAGGCAATGCCAGCGACATGTTGAGGTGAGAGTCAAACGTGTTGGTGAATGGATTGGTTGCTTGGCTTCCAAGTTGTGTGGATGAGCTTAGGTTGAGTGAGTCCATGGAGGTTGAGGTTGAGATGCTGGCAGAAGTCATAGAACCGGACCCTTTCTTGCGTGAAGACAAAAAGGATTGTTCACCGTCAGCCTCAGAGGCAGACCCATCGTAGTCTTCTTCATTCTGCGCGTACCCTCCTGCCATCATCTCGGGCGGTGGCCTTGTTTGTTCTGGAACGTGAAAATTGTTTCGATCACGCGGTCCGCTCTCGTCCGAACTTGTTGGTGTTTCCAACGGCAATTCCATTGTACTGACGCCGGTCAGCGTATTGAAATAGAACAAACGTCCATCTGGGGTCGCCTGCGGAACCCAAAACGCCGCCTCTTCCTGAGCCTGGGATGCACCTTCAATCGGCAAATCTGAGTCCTCGTCTTGAGTTTGTGCGTCCGAATCTTCTTCCTCTTCATCATAATCTTCCTCGGTGCCGGAGCCGGTCTCGCTCTCGTCGTGGCCTCCTATACCCGCCTCATTTAATTCATCCAGATTGGTGATCTCGGCGGTGTAATTGCTGGGGAACCAGCCCCGAACATCATTGATAACGCCATCCCACCACCCACTCTCTAATTGAGTCAACACCTGGATTATATCACCCTGGCGAAAGCTCAAGCTGGTGTGGTCGTCGGCTTCATAATTGTACAATGCGCGGACGAAGATCGGGGGGGGAGGTGGAGGAAGGTCAGTGCTGGCGACATAGCTGTTCATAGCAGCCTGCTGAGCACGGCGACGTGGCGAGAGGCCGCTCATGCCCGCGTGATGGACGCTTGAGGATCTCGAACGAGACGTGGTGTGGGAAGGTCGACTCGGTTCGGTATATTGGAAGGCGGCGGCAAGGACTGAGCCTGACTTGGCTGAGGCACCTTGCGATGTCGAATCTTGTGTTCCCCTGCGCGAGGTTGACATTGCAGCGGTAGTTCACCGACTTTCGAGGGAGGGTTGAAGCGCCAGATGTTGCCTTTCGGAGCGCAGCAAGGCGGACAGGCTCTGCATGTTCGAATGCTGCGACAACCCGTGGACCAGCGGACAGGAGACTAGGCAGTCGTTGGTGGAGGAATCTAGAGGACGGCGATGGTGACAGCGTCGTTACACATGAGACCACCTCGATGGAGGAGACAAAAGATCTTTCTAGGGTTGTCAGAGGTCAATGCTGCAAGATTCTTGAAGTTCTGCGGTCTGTAGAACGGTGGACGGAGGACGCTTTGCAGTCTCTTGGTTCTATGCGGGCGTGTTGGGCTATTGGTTTATTGGGAGGAGTGGGTGGAGCAAGCAAGGGTTTGTATCGGCTGCCCGATTGGATGTTTCGTGATGGTCCGGAGGGGCAAAGGCAAAGACGCACCAGCCTGTGAGCCAGACTCTGAGGTCGCCGAACAAAGGTCAGAGCAACAGGCTGACTGGCCCGCTCGCTAGCGGCTATCTGCAAGAAGCTGTTGGTCGAGAGAATGCTGCCATCTGGGAGGTGTGCCTGAGGAGGGCGGAGCGTGGGATGAAGGAGACGATTGTCAGGCCACACAGAGAGGAGCGCAGTCGTATACTCAACCGAAAAGGAGAAAGGATGAGACGAGCACCAGGAGCACTTAGCACTGGCGGAGGAAGTGAGTTCCCAAGGGTTTAGGGATTAAGTACCTGCTACTCGTAAGTTAGGTATGTACAAAGGAGCCGGAAGAAGTACTCGGTGCCAGTTTTGACTCTTGGGGGTGCCATTGGTGTCGACTAGGTACTTGTGATGCCTAACCGAGCCTGGGTGTCATTCTCTACCTCTCACTTTACGGAGTAACTTTCCACTTGTACTCGGTACATATCGAGATATGTACAAGTACCTACATACTGTGATACTCCCCCTCCTCTCCTCCTCTGCCTCTCCCTGTCCTTCTCTCTACCTCAGTCACTCTCTCATTGATGTCTCTTTTCTCACCTGCAATTGCCGCCCTTCGCCGCCTACCACCTGAATTATTGTCCCCCTGGACCCTCCTCGCCGCATCTGATATAGACTGGTCCAATTCGGTTGCCTTCGCCTCGCCCACCCGGCAAGCTCCTAGTGACTTCCTTTATCCTCGATTCAGCTAACACACTGTGCGAGCCCAGCACCACGCGTTGAACCCGCAATCCACTTGATGCTTTGCCCAGCATCGACCGGCACAGCTGCTTGTCTCCCCGGTATGCTCGCGCTGGGTCCAGACGAGGACTCGGAGAAGAGGGGGTCAATAATACGAAGATAAACCTCTGGCTCGTGTCCATGACGCGTATTCTCAGATTCACATGCATTTCAAGTCCTCCTGCGCCAATCGAACCTTTAGGTTTCCGTTCGTTTCCTGCCTTAAGAGTTACGGCACAGCAAAATCTGGAGGTGGCTGAGCTCATAGCGCTGACCGGACTTTGCTGTACTGTCAACTGTGATACAAAGTAACCTTCGCACTACAGTTTCGGGAAATGTACGATCAGCAATGAGAACCTTGTGTATTTTCTCCTCTACCAAAAGACCATGTCGTCCGGGCCTGAACAAGTTTGGCTCATATCATCCGTGGCATTGACTATTCGTACTCGAAGGACCTGGAGGGGCACTCATCTCGCGAAACTGGGATAAGCGTTTTCAGGGGCTTCAAGATACAAATCGCGTGCCACCAAAGGTTAAATTACGAGACCGCTCGGGATGCAAGGATCCAAGCTTCGCGTCCATTTCGTGGAGTAATCCTTGGAGGAACAACGGACGCTGGTCTGAACCGTGTTGATAGAGCTAGCAGACACAGTCTGTGTCAGTTGATAGACGACATATCCTTGCAGATGGAATATATCCTCAGGATGTTGATCAGCCTCCCATTTGGGGTTGGAAAAGACACTTCCACAGTCACTTCGTTGTTTGAACTGCTGAAAGATGGAACAAGCCTAGTATTATTGCGACTTCAGCCGTCTGCGCTCTTCGGTCAGTCGCCTAAATCCGCAGGCCGTCGTTGTTCAGCGCCATCTCGCCATCTTATCAGGCCTCCCCTATACAGATCCCTCAGCATATCTTGAGGGCGGTGATCTCCCCCGATCTCCACGAAATGTCTTCCTTCTCCAGCCAGACTCGGGGTGCCTGAGACGACGGACCAATTGCCCCTTGCGAGTCTACGACCTCATGTCAGTCTGAAGGGAGCGAGACTTGCAGTCGGCAGATTATGGAGCACCACCCGCTCAATCACGAACTCACCACAAAACGCCACTGTGCATGTGTCAGGCTGCCGAATCAAAGTTTGATATTGCAACGGACCCGGGCTGGGGACTGAAAGGCTGTCTAGGTCCATCGAGTTGTTTGTGGAGACGGAATTCAACCGCAACAAATCCCAGCTGTCTCTTCTTGATCTGCGCGTCGTTCGACAACCTGTCGACGATGCCTCCGGTCAGCCTCCATGCAGGGGTAATCGGCGCGGGCATGGGAGGACTTACTGCGGCAATTGCCTTGCGTCGAGGAGGAGTCAAAGTCACCATCCTCGAGGCCGCAACCGAACTCGGGGAAATTGGAGCCGGCATCCAGATTTTCCCCAATGTATCAAGGTACCTCATCCGCTGGGGTGTGGACGAGATCATTGGCGAGAATCTAGTTCAAGTGGACGAAGTGCGGACATGGGGCGTCAATGGCAAAATAGTGACGAGGGTCGATCCGAAACGGGTTCACAAGTTCACCGGCTTCCCACATTTGATTGCTCGGCGAGACCATCTACATGCCGGCCTTACAGAGTCGGCTCGCCGCCATGGAGTCGAAATCATTGTCGGAGCCCGGGTTCAGAAGCTCGAGTACACAGAGAAGTCAGCGACGGTCACTACGACCAACGGGGATTCCTACACATTCGACATAGTGGTGGGCTGCGACGGCATCAAATCCACGATCCGACAACATCTCTTCCCCGAAGTCAAACCTCGCGCTCCATCCAAAGTTGCCGCTTACCGGGGCGTGCTCACGTATGAGGAGATCAAAAGCAAGGCTCCTGAAGCAGCGTCGATCTTGACTAACACAATGGACATGTGGACGGGGCCAAACGGCTACATAATGACCTACCCACTCTCCGGAGGGAAAGAGCTAAATGTGGTCACTTCATTTTGCAAGGACTACTACGTTGAGAAAATGGAGGAAGTCGACATTGACGAATTCAGAGGATACTACAAGGATTACAGCCCGGCCATTCAGTCCATCATTAAACTAGTCAACTACACGCAACGGTGGCCCTTGCTTGTCATGCCTCCAATGGACCGGTGGTCGAACGAAGCCAGAAATGTGGTGCTATTGGGCGACGCTGCGCATTGCATGCAGAACCACATGGGCCAAGGAGCAGGCACAGCGATGGAAGATGGTGTCTTCCTTGGTCGTGTTCTGAGTGAAGTTGTGCGTGGAACGCTGACTGTGCCCGAAGCGGTGACTATCTATGAGCAGAAACGGATTCCCCGAGCTTGGACCAAACAGCAGGTATCTCTGGTGTCGGGCGACTTGAACATGTGTTCTGACGCACAAGAGCTGCTCAAGCGGGACGCGTCATCCTTGCCAGAAGCCCAGGGCCTCAAGGATGGCGTGGTCAAGAGTCCTTTTCCTGCGCTTCCACCAGAGTATCGGTCGTGGCAGATGTTCGATTCGCCGGATAGCGTACCCGGAATCTTCTACTACGATGCTGAAGGCGATGCAGATAACGCGGCGTGTGAGTTCCTGCAGGCCAGGGATCGAGAGGCCGGGAAGGTGGATGAATTGACGATGGTCAGTGACGCTTTGAGGAAGAAGTGGTGGACAGCCGTCGATTTCAACGGGATCCGGTGAATGAACGACTCTATATCGAGTTCGTGGTCGAACGACAATACATCTGTTTCTTCCCTTTTTTCACATTGGACTCTTTCCTGTCCTGTGCTCAAAATTGTCAGTCAGTCAGTCGACCCGACTGCCCTTGGGTTACAGCACATGCCAGATCAATCATCCGAATCCACAGCATTCAATGCCTTTTTTATCAGCAAATCTTTACGAAGCTATGAGATATGACTCCGAACAACCAGAACAAGTCCAGTATCATTATAGTCAGGTCGCGGATGTCGAAGGCCGAGGAGGGGATCGCACCGCACCCATGGGTAAAAAGGTGGTTCTCAGCCTTGCTCTCGCAGATCTGCATATATATGTCCTTCCTGGTAGATAATATATGGTGCAATGGCACACAAACCCTCAATTATCCCACCTTTACCGACGTTAAGGATCGTCGCATCGTCATGTACCAACGTGCTCGTACACGGTCCTTGGGTAATCCATGCTAACGGTTAGCTGGCTCAAAAATGTTTATTTTGTCGCAGTATCGTGGGACCTCTGACCCTGCCAGAAAACGGACGTGGAAAGTCGCATATTGTAGTGTGTACTCGTTGACGACTCACCCTCCACGCTCATCCTGCGAAGAAGGGTATCCCTTGGTTCTACTAGAAAGAGGGAGCAAGGGAATAAGGAAGAAGTGGCCTTGATATTATAGCCCGATTCCCGACAAGAACCGCATGCAAGTGGCATCATCCCTTATACCCGAGCAGGGAAACAGATCATCTCAAGGTGTGCAACACTGGTTGATATCATTAATTAATTGCTTGTGTGTGATCTCTTATTTCTGCCTGGCTCTGAAAGTATCATGCAGAGCTGTGAGCTGTGCCATGCTCTGCGCGACTCAAAGCTCCCAAGTGTATCCTACTCCGGCGCACCACTTCCGCCCATGTCACTAGTGTACAGAGGTAAGAATAATCAAATCACACAATCGGCCGTGTCTCAGTCCTAAGGTTTCAAAAAAAAAAAAAGTTGCAAAGAGATGAATGGTCATGAGGCCAGGAATTCCTGCTGGCCGTAGTGGACGCTCAAGTCCGTCCTTTTTGTTTGAGCGAGAAATGTCATCAGTAAATGCAGATGGGTGGGAGTCTTGCAT